TATATATATATATATATATATATATATATATATATATATATATATATATAAATATACAAAATATATAAAAAATTGATGTGGGTACTCAAATGAAAGCTCTTAATGAGCTCAACGTCAGGATGAGCTTATGCTTAATAAATTCTTAATATTTCTCAAAGATACTTACTAGTCCCCAAATTGAACCTGACACCTCCCAAAAACTCATTACTCGCGATCCTATCATGGTCCCAAACAGTAAGTTCAAGGCCCCTCTCAGCGAGTTCCTGAAGACTGACATCCTTATAAATAAACGTGTGTCCCCAAACCGGATTTCCGTCGCTCTTCCTAACAACACTGGTCTTCTGTTTTCCAGCCCTTCCTTTATCAGGTAGCAAATAGCTCTTGCAAAAGGGGTCACATGTCCCAGAATTTTTGGTTTTCGTCTGAAGATTTCTAGCCTCCTTAACCAAGACATGCAGCGAGCCTCTGCTCCAGTTCTTCTTGCCCTTCCTCGGCTCTCCAACGATAGTAACGCCCTCTCTCTCTCTATTCTCGAGTTGACAAAGTTCTGGAGGAACAAACTTGAGCCCGACAATAACCTCGCCCTTGTATCTCTCCACAGGGTCATCAAAAGCCTCGGACCTTTCTTGCAAGTGGTACCACTTTGGCGTCGGGTCATCGAAGATTTTATTCTCCAAGGGCATCCGAACTTCCCCGAGGAAGTCATTCCTCCCGAACATATCCGAGTGCCACACAGTTAACCACAAAATTCTATTCTCCAAAGAATTTAAATTAATATTAAATTTAAGTGTCTCATCAAAAACTGGATTGAGCGTGTGCTTCTTAACTTTTGTCTTTCTTTTCCCGCCCTTAGATTTATCAGGCAATAAATAAACTTTCACGTAAGGGTCGGACCTGTTTCTCTTTACGTCAACAGGCGCTAGATCTTTGCACTGGCTGATCATCACCTGGAAGGTCAGCTGCTTGTAATCGTACTGGAGAGAGAATTCAACTTCCCCGCGGACTGCTACGGAGCCGCACCACTTGCCCTCCCCGGCGCCACTGTACACTGACGCCATTGAGTCAGACCTGGCGCCTAAGCTGGACAATGATGCGCGGTTTAAGTCCTGGAGTCTGCTTCGAGGTTCAAATCGCTTTGCTCCTCCGATGATGGGTGTGCTGCAGGCTTCTGAGAGAGTGTCTTCGTCGGGGACGGGCGCTCGCCTTCGCTCGCGCTTGCCTGGAGATGGGATCTCCAGGCCGGGCGCGCTCAACGCGCGCTTCGGAGCCGATGTTAAGTTTCGAGCGAAGCCTGGAGGGCGGTATCTGGAAATTTTTAAATGATTCTTGGTAAATTGCAATGTACTTGATTAAATATTGAGGTTTTTATAGATATAAGCTCATCCTGATATTAGGCTCGTCAAGAGCTTTCATTTGAGTACCCACATGCATTTTTGATATATTTTTCATACATACATATATATATATATTATAAATATATGAAAA